TTTGACATTGCAAAATGGCATTAGTATTTACAAAGCTCACATTAAAAACCATGCAATTAAGTTACAAAAAAAATCACAGACACAAAGAAAAATCTCACAACGTTCTAAGTAAGTTTGCAAGTTTATGCTGGGCTACAGTTAGCGTCATCCTTGACTCCACGCATCTGTATGCAGCCTGCAGACAGCAGGTTTGACATCCTTGTAGCTAGAGTTTCTACACAATAATTTAGAAAAGGCAATTGATTACTAGACTTCTAAAGAATTTTTTCAACCTAAAAATATGAAAGTTGCACCCAATTAGTGATGTAGTCATATGAAAACAATGGAGTGGTAGACATAAAACTAATATTTATGAAATTAAATGTCACATTTTTCCTGATTATATATTTGAAGAGTTATTTTGATTTCCTTGTAAGTTTAAAGTTTCTTAAAGGTTATGAAGTCATTTGCACATTTTAATTGATTTCAGGGAAATGTGGTATTCAAGAACCGTCTAAACAAACGCAGGAGACACTGCTTGCTGTCCTGCTTTCACTGTTATTTCTGTGACTCGGGACTGGTCTGTTTATTCTTTATTTTCCCCCATGTACATAAGACGGAACTTAGCTGACAGCATGACCTCTTCAGTTCTGTTTATCACAGTCTAGGCTTTCACTGATTATCAGCCACTGAGCCTTTCTGAAGTCTTGACTCAAATGTTTCGTGATTACTATTACGTCTCTGATTGTTGGTATTTTGCTTCTGTGCTATGTGTTTTCTTGATCAGGAAATCTAATTTTTCAAAGTAGGTTTGATCTGCTCAACTCACTCCACGTGGTTCTAGTCCGTCTTCATCTTAGCTCACTTTTTATGTTTATTGTCCTTTGTTGACTGCATTTCTGCAATCTCAAGTCTAAAGCTCACTACTGCCAACAGTGGTAATAACTGGTCTATTACAGTCTTCAAAGCTTTGAGCATTTAAGCCTCAGCCTAGTCTAGATAACGGAGACAATATCTTCTCTACTATCGTACATGGCTGCTGAGTCCAACAGAACATGGTATTTTGTAATGGAGACAGATAAGCCTCAAATCCAGACAAACCCCCCCTCCCCCCCCCCCTCTCTCCCCCCCCTCTCTCTCTCTCTCTCTCTCTCTCTCTCTCTCTCTCTCTCTCTCTCTCTCTCTTTATGTCTATAAAACATGATTGGAATAGCTTCTTCATAAAATTATTACAAAAATGCAAAGTGCATATAGACCAGTTAAGTCAACCACAATTACTTGAATTAACTGTTTTCAAAATTCTTCTCTCATTCTGGCAAGAATGATCATTTAAGAATTTAGATTTTCCTGTCTAACCACTTTGCCACTCATGTTTCTAGGCTCTTGTGAATCCATTTCATTTTTTCTTACTATTTTTAACTTTAAGAATAATAAAACTATTTTAATCTTATGTTGTTTTATAAGTACTTTGATGCTGTTTAAGGAAAAGCATTCTATTGAATCCCTGTCATTATAGCCAAGAAAATTTTTTAAATTGTGCGGAGGATTAGGCACGGGCTTCTTGTGGTTGGGTAAGTGATTGACCCCAACTGTAAGAAGCTTTTTAATTCCACATCCTCAGAGTTAGTTATTTTTCTTTATAGAATCCTTCAAGAATAAAACTGTTGTAATGTGGATAAGTGATTGGGTAGAGAGAATCCCTGCTTGGAACTCAGGAATCCATGATCATATCCTTTATCCCAGTTTAGAAGGTTGGCCTATCTAGTGATTCTCAACCATGTTCAGCACACTGATTCCAGGACCCTATGGCATTAGATGGTGGTTCCCACAGTGTTAAACATGGTCCCTGAAGCTGAGTAGATTCCCAATAAACAGTTTTTTTGAAGAACACCGAAAGTTCCATTATCTTCCTAAGAGACTATAAACAGCAAGCTGTTGGCTAATGTTTGAGAACACTGAATTGAATAAAGATGCAAACTGAGATCCTTGTAATTCTTTAGGATTTCTAACAGCCTTATATGATAGGAACACAGCTTGCAGCAATTCACAGAGCTCTGACTATGCTTTGGAAACCCGGTTAAGGACTAGAAATATGAAAGTTTCCTGCAGAACCAGCTTATTCCATCCAAAGTCCAGATTTAAGTTCTGTGCTAACCTGATGGTCTGGAATCTATAGAAAGATTCTGTTTGCAAGCATACTGTCAATTTGGGGTATTTGGGTGTTTTTTTTTTTTTTTTTTTTTATAGATTACTTTTCTGTAAAGGTGGTAATAAGTTGCAACTGTGTCCACAGTATGTAATAATCGAATCAACATTTCTTTTAGACAAGCTACCAACGAGAATACAGGGATGAGTTTCTGACCTAGAGTGCACGTCAGGTCTTAGGTAGGTGCTGCGGGAATTTCAGGAGAGAAGGAAGAGTATGTTGTCAAGAGCAGACTTCCATCTAAAGGCAGTTCATGTGGGAACATTCATGTTTTTTTGTGTGGGGGGGTAGTGTGTGGGAGTTCACCTCGGTTCATCTGGCAATACATGCACAAACCACTCCCTGCTCTGCACCCCACACTCAAGCCAAATCGCCTACTTTGAGTTTCTCAAACTTGGTCTACTCGTTCAACAGGCTTCTTCAGACAGGAATAATCTTCCCTTTCCCTCTTTTTATTTTTTTATTTTTTGTTCCCCTGTCTGCAAAGCTAAACTGTGGTACACTGCTTTTCCTTGTGACTATTTGAACATATGACCAAGGATGTGTGAAACGCCCCCTTAAACACCATAGGCACATCTACCCAGTCCATACATAGACCCTCCCACATGCTCTGTAAATACCCAACATGCACTTGTAACTGTCTAGTGGTTCCCTTAAGTGAAAGTCTCCACCACAGAGCAGTGGCTTTCCCAGAACTGGTATGTTGGAGAGCACCCACAGGTCACCCTCTGTGGGAGAACAGAAGGTCTCTGATTGGGAGGAGGAGTAAACCACAATGCAGTTGCCACAGTGTCCAGGCAAAGCAAACACAGCTTTCAGTTCTAGACCTCAATCTCAATGCCAAAGAAACTCAAATCCTCAGCTGAAATGACCCTGAACCCGTTTCAGAGCCTTCTTAGGTTTACACCACAGGCTCATCATCCCATACACAAGCCTGGACTATAGTGTGGACTACGTACCTAAATGCAATGTGCCAGCCTTGTGTTCACTCACTTGTACCAGCTTGTACAGAAGTGTAAAGCTGTGTGAGAGAAGTGTCCAGGAATTGTGGCATAGTTCCACTGCAGTTCAAGAGCAGATCTTCCAAGAGTCTAAAACTGTTCACTTCCAGCCTATTCCTGCAATCACTGTGATACCTTGTGTGCCCAGTAGGAAGACAGAATATGCATTATTTAAAATTCAAGCTGCTGGGGCTGGAGAGGTAGCTCTCCTCCAGAAGACCTGGATTTGAATCCCTGCACCCACACATGGTGCCTAACAACTGTCCATAACTCCAGTTCCAGGGGATCTGATGCCCTCTTCTGACCTCTGTGGGCATTGCCCCGCACTGGTGCATTTACATACATGCAGGCATAACTCTCTCATGTAAAGTAAAAATAAATTTTTAAGAATGTTTTAAAAATAAAATAAAATTCAAGCTTCTTACATTCACACTCATAAAATGAAACAAAAATACCAAAATAAAATAAAATAAAATTCAGGATTCTTGATTTATAATGTTTAAATGTTTCCATATATAATACAAGGCTGGGGTGGCAGCACAATGTCACATTATAGCAATGCCAGAATAAAGACAGCCTGACCTTTCACACACATGTTAGCTAAAAAGGGACTTGAACTGCCCTGAGAACCTGCTCCTTCATATCTCTCCCAGAACTGTCCTCTTGAAGCAAGGTCTAACTTTCTCTTTTATCAAAGCAGCATGTCCAGCATGAAATGGGGAAGGAAAAAGCAGAAGAATTTGCCTTATTGAGAATTCTACCCTTGATGCCTACTGACCTAGAACAGCGCGTCACAAAAGTACAGGTATTATCAATAGAATACCACCTATTGTTTGCAGCACAAATGATATAATTATCTTGTTGCTTCTGAGCAACATCCTTTGCTTGCATCACTTAATATGCAAAACATATACACATATTCATGCATTTCTCTGGGTCAAAGGCATGGAAGGGTCATGAAAGATTAAAGTCATATGCTTAGGTTACAAGAGGAGCTCAAGGTCTAGTAAGTTTGTTTTACATTATAAGCAAGCTGAGATAGTATTAAAAGATCTCAAACATAAGATGAATATTTTGGTCACAAGGTTAGGTAAAAGTCATTTGTCCAGCGAATGTCCATATTGTACAAGTCATTCCCACACAAGAGCCTCCATTTGTCCTTTAAATTCAGATCTTTCAAATGCTTAGGTGATCTCTGTAGAATTAAAGGAGTTGGGAGAAAAAGGCTGGGCAATGTACTAATTCAAAACAATACAATGTTGTCTTCAAAGAAGACAGATGTACAATACATAGTGGATTCTTTTAAATGAATGAATAAACACTACCCTAAAAATCATTGTCATTACATTGTTTAGGAGGGGCAACATAAGAAAAATAAAGTAGCCTAGAGCAGTTCAGCCCACTGCCTTGATGTTTTCCCCTTTAAATCAAGCACAAAGGCAGAAGCAATACATGTCTATGAGAAGCCAGGGCGAAGTCACACCTAAAGAGAGTCACAGGGGCACAAACAGTTGAAGGACTCAGGTGGACAATATATGACTTTTTAATATATGACTTTTTATTCATGTATGTAGGATGCGTATGTTCAATGTCAATATGTAAAGCCATGTACCAGGCACTGTAGGGAGTATCAAGGCTAGTACCATGTGTTCCCCTAACTCCTAGAGAACTATTGATCACACTTGCATTCAGTGCTTCTTCTTTGTTTGGCTTCCTGGGAATTGATTTTTCCATACCCGGCTTATTCCAACCATTAGCTCCACACGTTTGGGTTTCCTGTGGCAAGAAAAACAAGTCTTAAGACTCTGAGATGTGGATGGTTTACACAAAGGGTGCCAGAACTTGTGCAAAATGCCTATGCAGCTGCCTGAGAAATATACTTGGAAAATGTAATTTATTCTTATTTAGTGTCAGGCACGTTTTTGAACACTTTCCATGAATTATCCATTTTTATTGCATAAACTTCCATGAGAAGTTTTGCTCTAATTGTCTTTGTGATATAGACACTGAAAGTGAAACAGAGAGATTAAATAACTTACCCAAGGTCATTTGTCCGATAAATTACAGAGCTGGAACAGAAAGCCAGGTTGATTCACTATCCAGTCAGAAAGATCATATTCATTCCCTAAGTCAGGTCTAAAGTGAAGACATTTGTGTGAAATAGTAATTTAAGATCCTGAATTGCTTAGTAATTTGGGCTGTACATGATTAGACACTGATATCAAAGAATTTTCAGGGTGATAGGAGTCTGTAAAATTGCCAGGTCATAATTGAGACATTTATTCCTTCTGAATTCTCCAGAACGCTGTTATCTGTACTCTGGGTAGGTGGAGACTGTTCTCTTACATATTATCTCTGTGACACTTCTTTATAGTAGTGACATGTTCATCCCACTGATCTGCTGGAGCCATAAGGACAGAAACCAGTATTTCTTCATGGTTTATGCATAGCACATAGCAAGAAAAGTAGATTTCAATAAATATTTGTAATTTGTAAGTGAATCAGATTATATAGGCATTCAATATACTCTGTGTAATTATTATGCTGAATCTTGGAGAGCTGAATGGTTCATTCTTATATTAATTATATAATGACATTAATATACCTATAGCAGAAAACTATACACATTTCAGAGTGAGGCAGTATAATCAAGAGAAAGGACAAAATCAGCCACTAAACTTGGGTTTCCAGTGTCCTTCCATTAACCAACATGGCAAGACAGAGCTAGAGACTCACTGTTTTTCTAATAAAAATGATGAGAGAACCTGGTCAGCAACTCATAAATTCCTTGTAAAACTAAGACACCTGGCCTTTCTAGACCAACTCACTGCTCCCAGATCTGAGCTACTTCAGTATAAAAGTCAAAAGAAATCTACAAGCAATTTCTGGTAAGTACTACCAAAATGTCTTTCAGTCTTTTGTGACATTGCAGTCTCCAAGTTGACATTTTTACCCTTGTGCAGTCAGTTGAACCTGACTGCTTGACTTGAAAGTGAGATAAGAGACAGAAACATGTGTGAGGTGGACTAGATACTTTATACTTTCTCATTTAACTATCCCATGCTGACACAGCTATGTTCACCTCCATGAACAAGCATGTTAGTGAGAGAATTTCTTCATTACCAGAAAATGGAGGATCCAAAATGAAAACCTGTATATATCTGGATGTCAAATATTTTAACCATAGTAGATATTTTCTCTCTGATCCTTGACCTTTCTAACACCTACTTGTATCCCCAATTATTTTCACACTTTTTAATGAGCTGGTCTTGCAACTTAAACTCATTATCACATGTTTAATGTGTATACAGTTCATGACCTGAAACTGTACTATGGAAATGTCTTTAGTTATCATTGCACAAATGTTTCCTGCTGTCTGACAATATCATATGGAACTCATCTCAAAATGTAATGATTTCTCTATCTTTTTCAGATATATGAGTCCTGAGACTCTAAAGACATATTCTGAAAGTAAAAATTTCCTTTCCTTCATTAGAAAATTACTGTTCGGGGCTGGAGAGATGGCTAAGTGGTTAAGAACACTAGTTGTTCTTGCAGAAGACCCAGGTTCGAATCCCAGCACCCACATGGTAGCTAACAACTGTCCATAACTGCAGTCCCAGGGGATCTGACAGCCTCTTCTGACCTCTGAGGTCACTGCACGACGTGGGTGCACTGACCTACATGCAGGCAATACATGCATACACATAAAAAATAAAAATAAATCAACAAATAAGTAAAATTTTTTAAAAAGAAAATTGCTGCTCAATTGGGCCTATAATACTAAAAAGGATAAAGTGGTTCCATCAAAGTAAGTACTCCAGAAACAAGAAATATGACAATATTTTTTAAATATTTTGTTTACTATTTTTATTTTATGTGTATGAGTATATTGCCTGCATGTATATAAGTGCACCCCTGTCATGTAATCCTGAGGAAATCAGTAGAGGGTGTTGGATCACCTGGAACTGGAGTTATAGACAGTTATTAACCATCATGTGCTGCTGGAAATCGAACCTGGGTCCTTTGTAAGAGCAACCAGTCCTATTAACTGCTGAGCCATCTCTCCAGCCCCAAGAAATATGACAGCACTTTTGAAAGTTGATTTCATTTTAAATTATAGCCTAAGTATTTTGAAGTGATTTACATTAAATTATTTACATACATACAAAAAATTATCTCCAAGAAAGAAAAGACAAGAATAATATTTTGTTTTGGTTTGGTTTTTGAGGGGTTGAGGACTGAACTTAGGGCCTGTGTATGGTAGACAAGCATTCTATCACTGTTCTAAATCTTTAGAAAATGTTATCTTTCTGTTAGAGTACAATGAGAATAAGAAGTCTCATTATGACATTTTCGTCCATGTGCATAATATATTTCAATCACATTCACTCCCATTTCCCGCTAACGCTTCTTCCAAACTAGCCACCCTCTGACTTTCATGTCTTTGTGTGTGTGTGTGTGTGTGTATGTGAGAGAGAGAGAGAGAGAGAGAGAGAGCTTTCCAATAAATTTCATTAGGGTTATTTACAGGAGCATGAGTAGAAATTTGTTACAGGAGCATGAGTGGGAGTTTGTTTCCAGTAACATATACACCTACTGGTTTGGGGGAAGAACAGGGTTTAAGGGAAACAGAAATAAATCAATCTCTGGCAAAGGGTCCATGACTCGATAGGTCCCCTCCAGGTAACAAACACACGGGATTGGAGATGTAAAAATCAAGCAGAGTCTTTACTTTTCCAGCTAGCTGGGGCCAACCGTTGGAGATGTAAAAATCAAGCAGAGTCTTTACTTTCCAGCTAGCTGGGGTCGACCGGCTTCCCAAGACATGCAAGTCTGGTCAGAACGATCGACCCCCATTCAGTTTCAGGTACAGATTATATAGGCCCACATAGTCATTACACAAAAAGCATTCCTCAGCAGACACTTTAATCAATCATCTTCTAAAAGCTATAGTTTCGGTTAAACATCTTTTCCAGGAAGGGTAGATCTGGTGTAAGCCTGGCGCAACCTCCCTCTTTTGTTCCTTATCGGTTATCTGGTATGTGCAAACAGGCCTACAGGACACATTGTAAATCAACTGAGTCAGGGGTCCAGGGTCCAGGAAGGAGGTTTACAGCACTTCAGTTCTTAACATTTCAACTAGGTTAATCATCCATGTGTGGTAGATACAATCAGGCAGAACAGGCAAGCTAGCAAGTAAATCTAAATCAACGTTTTAAACAGAGTTTTCTATCAAAATGCAGAGTTCTTACAGCATTCATCAAGGTATTTCATTTTTTTTTGTCCCCAACAGCTATCTGGACTGAGCAGAAGGGTGAAAAAGAGTCTTCACCTCACTCAGAGACAGCAAAGTTAGTTCTTTTAAAGTCCTTTGTGCAAGAGTAAGGAGTGAGATGGTATTGTGAGGAAGGAAAGGGCCCAAAGTAATTTAACACCATTCAATTACACTTAGACATAAGCTTTATTTTATTTCTGACTGAAGCAGGTATTTAAAAAGATTCCAAAGATATTGTTGGATAAGGGGTGTCTGGAAGAACATTGGGCCTAGTTAGTATGCTATGAGACAGTTCTGTCTCCACTTGGCTTTTGTTATCTGGAAAGGCTTACTCCCAAGATAAGGGCAAACTTGGCTCTTGTGAGAGAGATGTGAAAGGAGAAACACTGCATGGGGACTGGCTGGAAACTGTGAAGCTCTTCGCAGCACTTAGAGGGTCTACAATCTGTTACTCAGAGTGCTACACCAGTGAAGAAAATGCCTCTCCTTCTCCCATCAACTATTAACCTCATATAAGTCCACACAGAAGGGTTGATCCCTTCCCCCTCACATTACAACATGGTGAAGGGCCCCATCTTGTGGAGATCACTGCATCCATGTTATGCCTGGAAAGCAGTGTTTGACACTGCTCTCCTCACTTTTTCTGGCTCTTACATTCTTTCTGCCCCTTCTTTCATGATATTCCCTTCTTAGAGGGGGTGTTATAAGTGCTTCGTTTATGACTAGGCATTTAACAGTCATTTATTCTCTGTACTTTGACCAATTGTGAGTGTCTTCAGTCAGCACTGACCAAGGCAAAATGAAGCTTCTCTGACCAGAACTGACAGCATCACTAACCTTTGTGCATACCATGACACCTGCTTCTAGTTAGTGTGTTACAGACATGATGGGGAAGCTACACTAGTGAAATCTCCACCTTATGGTAGTCTATTAAGATCTGCATAAAGACAAAAACAGATGACCTGCCAAGTTGGATGGGGGGAATTTCATGCGATTCTACCTCTACATAAATAGCTACAGGCAATCAGTGGATGCTGAGGGAGGGAGAATCAGTTTTCTCCAGGGACTAGCTCCCTGAAAGGTTATCTAATCCTAAATTGGCAGCCCTAAACACAGGTACACACAAGTACCACTAAGTGGGCTGAGTGCATTTTATATACATATATACATAACAACAGTCATCAAAGAGGACAAGAAATGGAGAGGGAGTTGGAGACAGACATGGGAGGAGTTGGAGGAGGACTAGGAAGGGTAGAAATAATGCAAATTCAATACTCCTGTATGAAATTCTAAAAAAATGAAATATACAAATATTTACCTATTTAGAAATATAAAAATACCTAGCTATGTTGCACGCCTTTAATCCCAGAACTCAAGAGGCAGAGGCAGGCGGATCTCTGTGAGTTCGAGGCCAGCCTGGTCTCCATAGTGAATCCAGGCCAGCTAAGGCTACAGGGAGACCCTGTCTCAAAAAGACCAAAAACAAAAATCTAGCTATTTAGAAGACTTTGATGGGCACATCATGTCTATTTAGTATAACAACAGAATATTCTCCATTAGGGCCTATGACCTGCCCAACCACAGGCTTTGACTCGGTTTATAGTACTAAACGTGAATTCCCTCATATGGAGTGAGCATCAAAGCCAATCAGAAACCAGTTGGTTACCCCAATAACAGAAATGCTAATACTGAACCAGTGGTTCACCTTGTCTGGCCAGTCAGCATTGGTGCATGCAGAGGTCACAGCTGAGCAAGGCTGTTGGTGACAATTCTTCCCAAGCAGCTTGCTTCATACCTTCTGGCTTTAGGAGCACTGGCCAGCATGGAGGACACTTCCAGCCAAGTTCCAGGTTGATTTCTCTGTATTCTGTGACCAAAGCATGTGACATCTTCAGCAACAGGATCTGATCAATGGGTTCTGGCAGGCAACCAACAGCAGTAGCAATTTCCTGTATTGCTTTGGGGACCTCAGGACCCTCCCTGGCCAACAGTTCACAGGGAGGTGGCCCACTCTTGGCTCTGAGACTGTCATTTAGTAACCCATGACGTTTGGGGAGTAATTTTATCCTCCCACACAGGGTATCTCCATTAAAACTCTTTTTTTTTTTTTTCTTTTTTGGTCTTTTTGAGACAGGGTCTCCCTGTAGCCCCAGCTGTCCTGGAACTCACTATGTAGACCAGGCTGGCCTTGAACTCATAGAGCTCGCCTGCCTCTGCCTCCCGAGTGCTGGGATTAAAGGCGTGTGCCACCAAGCCCGCCAAAACTCTTTTTTTATAGTTTATTTTGATTATTGTTTATGTTGCTGAGCATCACATATCCTCTTCTAGGATGCAGATGGTTACAAGTGAGGCTCTTGCCTAGAATTTAGACGGGCTTTCTGGCTACCAGTAAATGGACCAGAATGGAGTATATGAGGGAAAACATTTCATATCATTCTTTTTTCAGATAAAATTGTCTTCTCTTTTTTTTTAATTTTCAGATACTTGTTTCTTAACACATGCCATAAAATAGTCTTTTTGGATGAATTTGAGTACACAGGATACCTTGCAGTGTTGATGAACACATATCCTATGGTCATCTGTTGGGTGTCCCCGTTAAATGACATCTAGGAATATGAAATTAAGATATGCTAACTACTATTTTCTCACCTTTTACATTCTAGAGGTTCTACTTAAGATAATGTAAACTTGGAATCTATGAATGTGTTTCATAAAGCAAAGGGTTTCCTGACTTTGTTTCAACACTAATTATAGACAGTTTTCTAAGAGAATGTGTGAAAATCTCTTTTTCTTCTTTTTTGAAATATTTTATTATTTTTATTTTATGTGTATGAGCATATCGTCTGCATGTATGTAAATGCACCCTATTATGCAATGTCCGCAGAGATCAGAAGAGGGCATCAGATCCCGTGGAACTGGAGTTATAGACGGTTGTTAGCTACCATGTAGGTGCTGAGACTCAAACATGGGTCCTCTGCAAGAGCCATCTCTCTTTACTGCTGAGCCATCTCACCAGCCCCATAACAATATATCTTTAAGCAGAAAATTTTAATGAAGGAATTTAATATTTGGGAAGAACAGACACATCACTAATGTTCACTGGAAAATTTAAATGCTGCTGCAGATCCATGGTATGGAAAGAAAAGTAGATTCAGATTCAGTCAGATTTTATGTAATAAATTTCAAGCCACTCAGAAAGACCATTAAGAGGTATCATAGAATTAAAAGGATGGGAAGCAATTAGGGGTAATATTAGTAATAATGTGCAGGTGAGGGTGAAGACTATCCTAAAATCCTTTGACATTCTCTATCCTGGAAAAAAAAATCAAAATCAAAATTCAATATACCCCAGCTCTGGTTTTTGTTTTCTCTGAAAAGCTATAAGCTGTTGACCAAGTTACTGAAGTTTTCTCAATCTTAATCTGCTCTACTATAGAATGGCAGGGTTTGTCAAAGTGACAGACAAACATCTCATCAGATCAGCACCAGCTCACTGTGCTGTTTGCACTTTGCCAGGCTGAGCTGCTCCTATAGCCACACTGGGCTTCCTACATTCAGGCTGAGTTAAGACACCACAATTGGATGCCGAGTCATCATTACACTTACAAAGATGCTAAGAAGATGTTCCCAATGGCATAATCTTGTTTTGTATTCCATCAACTTAAGAGGCATCCCTAGTGCTTATTTTGCTGACTGGCATTCATTCATCATTTCCTTTACCCATTTTTCTATGGAGTTCAGTCCTGCTCTTCTTTGTCCTGCCTTTTAAAACCTTGTTTGTGGTCACAACAATAATAATGTATCAACTACAAGGTGCCAATCATTTTTATTACAAGATTTCAGATCTTTGATTTAACCCTGTAGGGTAGATATTGTGTATACATTACAGATCAGGAACCTGAATCTGTGATACACTGTGTAACATGTCTAAAATCGTACACATCAATGAAAAGTTTAGTCAGGGTTCAATCTCTCAAAGGTTGTGCTTTTTCCAATATTCAACATTATCTTAAAATTCCCTTCCTTGTGTTTTCAACCTTCCCTCAAAATACTCCTGGTTCTGTTGGAGAAGTGGGTCTCAATACTTTCTCAGGGGAAATTCCAATCCTTCTTCTGTATCTAAGAAGTAGAGTGAGTGTCCCTTTCCTGAGCTTCTGGTCATTCTTTGACAGCCTTACATTAAACAAATTTCTCCTCCTTTGAAACATGCTCTATACTTTTACACAGGTCTTTCTTCTCCTGTGGTTATTTATATTCTTTTGAACCCCAGATAACATACTCCATTTCTGAATGCTTGGCACCAGGACAAAGTCTCACTCTTTACCCCAGTTCCATCAAGTTCCTAAGGAACTTATCCAACCAATACTCTATTTCAATAAGAAGAAAATGAGACATCTGTAGAGGCCAAATGATACCTTAATATGATCCCAAAAGGCCACGATCTGGTCCTGCTTTTCAAGGTCCATACACTGAAGTTCCACGTGGGACATGGCTCTTAGATACTAAGCACATAAAATGTATTAACAATTATGGCAATTTCCTGATTCACAATGGAACAGATGCTTTCTCTGGGGTACAAATATGTCTTGTCTTCCTACTCTGTCTTGAAGTTACAAAGAAGTAGGATTAGGACAGTAAGAGAAAACTAATTAATCAAAATGATAAATCAGTATTTTCTGTCTTAAAACAGAGGAATAGATTGATACTATGGGCACAAACAGGAATTCCTTAGAGATACCAGTGGGGTCAAAGAAGGAAGGCTTTCAGTGGATAGAGATTATGTTGAATGTGAGTTATAGACAAGGGAGGAAGAACAGGAGGAGCACTTATGTATATGAGGTGATGAACAGTAAGATGAAGGGAAGCAGAGACCATTGTGACACATGGAAGGAACATCACTACCCATGACTGGAGCTCCCTGGACTAGGTTGGACAGTATGGAGATTGGAGAGATATTAAATTAGCACAAAGGATATGAGAGTCAAGTAACAACATGAATTGAGCAGTGACGGTTTTATAGGCCTTGCTGTCTCATTGCTTCCTGGCAGCAATGACTGTTCTTTATTTTTCCTTTTAAAAATATTTTATTTATTAATTTTGTTTTATGTGTAAGTGCACCCATGTCACCCAATGCCTGTGGAAGTCAGAAGAAGGCATTGGATGCCCTGGCACTGGAGTCACTGATGGTTGTTAGCGTCCATGTGGGTGCTGGGAACCAAACCTGAGTTCTCTGCAAGAGCAGCCAGTGTTCTTAATCACTGAACCATTTATCCACCCCTATGACTGATCATTTTCAAATAGATCCCAAATCCATGTCTCAGGTTCAACCGTTATCCACAACCTCAGATCTTATACACAAGTGCTGAGTGGGTCAGACGAAATACTGCACATATTTCTCAAATACTATACTCAAGCACATCTGCTCTAGAATTGCTCTTCCTTTGAATTGTACTGAAAACCTAACTACTCTGGAATCCATAGGCATCTGAAGGTCTTCTATTCTCTTACTACAGCAAGTTTTCAATAAATGATCTTTGGAATAGATAAGGACTTACTAAGTGAACTATCAAAAAAAACAGGAGATATGGGGCTGGAGGGATTGCTCAGTGGTTAAGAGCATTGGTTGCTCTTGCAGAGGACCCAGGTTTGATGCCCAGCACCCACATGGCAGCTAACAACTGTCCATAACTCCAGTTCCAGGAGATCCAACACCCTCCCTAACCTCTGCAGGCACTGCACAACCTGGGTGCACTAACACACATGCAGGCAATACACTCCTACACATAAAGTACAAATAATAAATACAAATATTTAAAAAGGAGATATTTCCATAGGAGTAGATCCTTCAATATTTTAGCTATGTCATTTCAAATTAATAAGATTATTTATTAATAGGAGTACATATTTTAATTAAACATGTCTAAACTCAAAACCTTTATTTATTTGTTTATTTATTTATTTTTGAGACAAAGTCTAATGGTGTAGCCATTGCTGGCCTGGAATTCATTTTGTGGACCAAACTGGCCTCAAATGCATAGAGATCTCCCTGCCTCTGCCTCCCAAGTGCTGGGATTAAAGGCATGTACCACCATACCCAGGTCTAAATTCAAGTAACTTTTAAGAAGGATGCTACGATATTAACCTATTATAGCTGGTCATAACTCTGGAACATATAAAAATTACTTCCTCCAAAACTGTAAATGCAGCAGAGCCATGTCTTATATATGTTATGTTACTTGGATACATTGTAACTTACATGATATAAAACATGAGCATGCTAGGCTGAGTGTGATGGCACAAGTCTTTAATCCCAGCACTTGGGAGGCAGAGGCAGGCAGATCTTAGTGAGATCAAGGCCAGTCTGGTCTACATAGCGAGTACCAGGCCTGCTGGGGCTACAGGGAGACCCTATCTCAAAAAAACAAAACAAAACAAAACAAAACAAAAACCCCACCAAACAGCAACAAAGAAAGAAATAAAAAATAAAAACAAAAACATGAGAGTAAAGATGCAAAAATCTAAACCCTTCAGATCATTTTCACTTTAGCTGATAAAATGAGATCCTTGCAAAATCATATTCCATTGGAAATTTCATAACTCAACCAGAAACCTACCTCAACTACTAGAGTTAGCCCTGAGCATAATCATCAGAAAAGCTTTCAGAGCTGTCTGTGGTCTCTAGACAACAAGATCTTTGTTTTCCAAAATTCAGATTAAATTATAATACTAGGTGCATTCAAATGCATGTAATCAACTAGATCTTTTAACCTGGTCTTATGCCTATAGTAGATTTTCCCATTTCCAATAGGGTTACTTTTTGAAAAGTCATCTTTTCTAGGGAGTTTTAAAGAATGTTGTCTTAATCAGGGAGTACTCTCGCAGGCTGTCCCCACTAGCTTCCTAGTTGTACGGAGAGAAGAGAGAGGGAGTAGAGAGGAAGGAAAGAAATTAACCAATGAAAAGGCAACTTCTCAATTTGCAGTTATAAGACATAAAATGTAGTCATGTTAATAGATTCTTTTAAAAAAAACATCCTAATAAGATATTCCTATTCTAATGTAGGAATACACGGTTAGAAATAACATACCAAAATAGCTTTTAATGTCTTAGCTGAAAACGCACCTGTTGATGCCACCATATGTTAGCTTTACAAGCAACTTAATGAAATAAAAGGATGAAGCCATAACCAAGGCAACATTCATAAAATATTCACATTTGCTTAGGTTTTCAAACAACTAAAAAAATGACTTTTATTCTACATTATCACAGAATAAATTTGAAGAATGTTTTCTTAAATGAAATTAATATTTAAATCGTGAACTACTTTAATAAAACATGACCCATGTGGCTCACAATAAAACAAACCAAAGTTTTTCATGTTATTTAATATCACAAGTTTATATAATTACTATAAATAGAATAGAGACTTTGGGATTATTGTGGTATTTAGGACTGTTTGAAATTAAAAGACCTCGACACATGATGTTTTGCTTGAATTTGTCATGCTTTCAGCTGCTGAATCTTTTCTCCAATGTCATTTTATAAATCTTTCACCTATGGCTGTGCTTTATGATTATTCCCACATCAGTAGTCCTAAGTGTGTTCCTTTACTAAAGGATGCAGCTAAAGAGAACGCTCTGCTTGCATGGCTGGCTTCGTATTCCTGGTGGTTTCTGACATGTAGAGTCCTAAGATAGATCAGAAAAAAAAAAAAAACAAAAAACAACTTAGTTGGTGATGCTTTAGTTACTGTGGGAAATAGTGTAGTAAAAACATACACACAGAGAAAAGCACAAAAATATGACAATGGAATTTCCTTTGATATCAACAGATGGTAGTAATGAGGAAGAAACTTTTTCGTACGGCTGGCTCCTATTTGAGTTAGGAATCACCTTAATCGGCATCTTAGATGTAATACTTATCGAAACAGATTCCATTAGTTATCATTATGGTTTAACTGAAATAGTGATCTTTATGAACCTTGTTTGACTCCTTTGTGTCCTACGAATCTTGAAGGTAAAAATAAGCAAATCTCACAATTTCAAATCCCTTCTGAATACCTCATGAAATATCAACTTCAAATCAAACAGAAGTCTTAGGCCAATCTTCTTCTGTCGAACTGATGTTTATGTATGAACTTTTAGCTACCTTTAACCAGTCAAGTTTTAAAATATTTTATATTATGAATATTCAAATTATATTAGAAATTAGATTCACATTGAAGTATAGACATACTTATCACACTTCTATACTCATGTAGATACAAGTGAACACTGAAGTAATATTTGTTTATATAGCTAGGGAGACAAAAGAGGAAAACAAGCAAAACAAATTACCATAAGAAACAGTCACAGGAGCAAAGACAATAGTATATATTCACATCCATTAAGAACTGAAATATACCAATTCATATTGTATAAATCCAGAATCATGATATCAAATATTACACATCTGGGATGCTGGAGAGATGGCTCAGTGGTTAAGAGCACTAGCTGTTCTTCCAAAAGACTCGAGTTCAGTTGCCAGCACCCAGATTATAGCTAAACCACCTTTAACTCAGGTTCCAGGGGATCTCATACCCTCTTCTGGTCTGCACAGGCATTGCATGACATGGGTGCACTTACATACATACAGGTAAAATATTCATACATGTAAAATTTTTAAAGTTTAAAGTTTAAAAAAAAACTGCATACCTCATCCATGTTGCTATGGGATGTATGATGGTAGTTATTTCTTGTATGACTATCAATTATGGGAGAGTCATTCCATGACACAGCACATGAGGATGGGTGGCCACAGATATAGTTATAGAATACTTATGTTTCTTATACATGCTTGGAAATATTTTTGCTGGTAAGAGACATAAACAAACTAGGTCTAAAAGTGCTCAATCGTTACTCTCTCCTTTTTTAGTATTCTAGGAGGTAATAAATAACATAGTATGCAATTTAATCTGAGGACACAAGTCTAGCATATTCTAAAGTCAAATTCATTCTTTCTGATGTGAGGATATACAGGGACTACTGAATAGATGAAGGAACTGGTAATCCACCTAAGAAAAGTTTGCTAATATAGTCAGAAAACTGTGAATACTTATGTCAAATGGTAGACCCTGTAGTCTCTGTAACTACGGAGCTTACTGAAGGAAAGCTTGTTGTAGAAGGGAAATGACATGTGATCTAGATATTGCAAAGTTACATGGCAGGATGGGTTGAGATCAGTTGTATGCACAGAATCCTGGTGGGAGAGAAGACTGCACTTGTTAGATGATACTACAGCTGAATCTTGAGAGATGAGTAACCATTCTTTAGGAATTTGTGAGTAAGGACAGGTTGCAGAGCCTGGGTAGGAAAACAAAGGAGCTGTCAAACGTGCTGGAGTTAAAGCACTGCATAATGGCCACTGGTAACGTGCAGGTGCACACGCTCAGTAAAGAAACAGAAAGAGAAGTTAACTGCAGTGTCAGATAAGAAGTATGGTTAGGCCAACAGACCATCTAGTCAGAGTTTTGTAGAAGACTCAGCATATGAAATTGGCAGTGCTTTATAGACAGACGCTTTACAACCTAAGCTCAGAAAATTAATTTCATTGTTTAACAAGAGCTTAAAACATTTTTAAAATTCAGTTTCTTAAAAGGGAACTATACATAAAAGAAAGTTATGAATACTCAGTGGCACTCAACATTAGTTTTAATTTTTATTATATTATTTTTACTTATGTTTGTGTATGCATACGTGTGTGTGTATGTGTGTGTCGCTCATGCCTTGGTGCATACGTGGAGGTCAGAGAACAATTTCATGGGGTAATTTTTTTCTGCACCATGTGGGTCTTGGGGCTGAAACAGGTCTTCAAGTTTGGCACAAATGCCTTTACCCACTGAGCCATCTCATCAACACTAACATTATTACTTGTTGAGAAATAGCTATGGTCATAAAGTTATAAAAACACTATGAACAAAATAATTTAAAAACTTAAGAGATTATAGTAGTTACACTGAGATTACTTATTAATTTTGGTCAAACTAAGCTAAATATAAACAAAATTTGTGCAATTAATATTTAATGGTGATTCTATTCTCTTCTGTTCTTTTTTTTTTTTTAGCTCCTAACACCAAAATTGCTACAAATAATAGATAAAAAGATGAGCCATGAGATTTCCTTTCAGTATACTATACTGAAGGGGAAATGGCTGTCCTGAACATTATTGATCAGATTGCAACTTCCAAATAGGCCAAACAGGTGAGAAAAACCTTGTGCACAGGAGAAATCTTCTCTCCTTCCACTCCTCTGTGGGTCACATACATCATGGCCCATGTCTTTACATGTAGGTATGGTCTCTGACTCCTGGGTTGCTAGTCAGTTTTATAGGAAGTTCAACTCATCTGCATTTGTAAAATAGATGTGTTGCCATATTAGCATGTTAGGAGGCTCTTGGAAGGCACTTTTCCATCCTTGTGAAACTCACGCACAGTGGTCAGCCTTTTCCCAATGCCGGCTGCAGGAATAACTGGGAAATAACAGTGAGGAGTGACTGAAGTGTCAAAGCTTCCTCATGATTTCCCATAGTTCCTTCCATCTCTCTCCATCCCCTGAGAGCACAAAGGAGGGGGATACTAGGACTTGGACCTCTAAAAGGTTGCCCAATTTTTGTTATGATTTCAGCTCTTACACACCAGTCAAATCTTCTATGAACTTGAAGATGAAAACTATTCCTGTGTCCCCATCATACCTTTTTATAAAACTAGGAGGTTAGGTTAAAATGCTATCAATTGCAAATACAAGAACCCTTTGTAGTGGTTTATTTTTCCAATGGAGGTAACATTTCTTTTGTTCTGTAGATATTATTAAAGTGGGTAACAAAGAATATGGAATGTGCTATGAAAGAGCTAGGTAGGTACCTTCACTCTAAATATGAAATTTGACCATCTCTTAATCTCTTAACAAAACAGCTTCAGAAAAGCAATGATTTTCACAAATTATAATCTTTGAGGAAACTTGCTCCTAATAGAATGGGAACTTCAATAATTCGTGTGGTTGTGTTTTCTAGCATAGATGTAGTATTAATGTATAATTTAATAATATTAACATATGTAATATTATTAGACTATTACCTCACCACATTTGTTCTCTGCCTGACACAACAAAGAATTTTGTTCAAACAATCCATGATAACATGCCATTTCTGAACCCTATTAATCTTTTTCTTTTCCAAGCCAGAAATACTGGCATCTTCTTGAGTGACTCAGAGACCTGGATTTTGTCTTTATTGATTGTAATCAGAACAGAGCTCTGGGGACCTCTGTGTGAAGTGTGGGGGTCTCAGTGCCACCCTGGCAAGAGGTTCATCTCTGAGTCATGCCAGGCTATTCTCTTGGTGCAAGATGAATCTTGAGAGTGCTGCAAACATCCTGAGAATGTAATGCTCACATGTAAGAACAGGAGTTGATGGCAAGTGGTAGACAGGAAAGGAATACAGCCTGAGAAGGAGGCTATAGGGAAAATAGTCCCAGGACGGACAAGGGGTCATGACCAAATAAAAGTCCACATGTCCAGTGTGAGTGGCTGGGATTTGCATGGACATCCGGAGACCAGATGATATAAGAAAGGTACAGATTAATGCATCCTCTAGATTCACTAGCAGAATGTGAGAACAGTGACCCAGGATGAGCAACAGGCCTTAATCAGAAGTCATATATCCCTGATCCGAACAGAATAAGAAAGTAGATCACAAACAGTCTTAGAGCCCCAAGCATGCTCCTGGGACCCAGTGATTGTGGGACCAGTGGAGCTATTAGTTTAGGGGTAGGGTGTCAGCCCTTTTCCGTGGGTCTAGGCACAAATGTGAGTGTTGCCAAGAAAATGGCAGAATTCTGGCACTACTGGTGAATGTTGCAATGGATGTGTCAGTAGGGTATATGCTCCTGGGATGAGGATTGCACTTCATGGACTTAGAGGAAAACTGTGAGCTTAGTGTCCTCACAAAACAGTTAAGACAGTGTTCTTATTTTATCTGAAAATATTTGTTATTTTTCAGGCTACTTAGAATATGATTATCCAGAAATTGTTGTCACTATGAAAACCAAGGGGGAGATTAATGTCATGCTCAACATGGCTAGAGAAATTGTCAAGACTTTCAGGTCAAAAGGAATTACTCACAAAGTGGAAAGTACTGAAATTAATAAGGTAAAGGTAGCATATTTTCAGAATTAACATGTACTTCTGTGCCAAAAAAACTGAAAAGAATGAGACAGCTGTTAAAAGAGTAGACTTTTATATTCTATGAAAGTTAAGCTTATATAAATTCAGACTAGTGTTGAAGCTTCATGATGTTAAATGTAATCCTCATGATAGCCAAAGAATATATGCAGAGAATATACTCTAATGCTTCACTATAGAAATTCAACTAAACAGAATGCAATAATGCAGAAAACTGAACATGAAAATAACAGTAATGTAGGACAAAAATACTATAGGCACTTAGAAAAGGCAAATAGAAAAATGTAACAAAATGACAGAAGTTAATCTCATGGGGAGTCAGCAGGGGAGAAATGGTGACAAGACATGATCGTATTTTGTTGTATATATGTATGACATTTTCAAAACTAAAGAAAATTATTTTAAGAAGAAATTGCTTCAAATATAAGAGGATTAAACTCTCCAAACAAAAGGTGAAGATCAGCAGGATGGATAAAATGAATATAATCCCACTACATGCTGTTTTTGGAAAAGAATGAAGTTAGACCCTTACCAAACACACATAGAGAAATTAACTCAAAATGGATCCATGACCTAAATGTGAGACCTAAAACTGTAAAACTCTGAGATGAAAACATAAGACTAAATGATTTTTTAAATTTAAGGTCACAGGTACATGCAAATATGGAAAAAATGGATGGAAACATTTTTAAGTGTGCATAAAAGTATTCTCTATTAACAAAATAAAAGGTGACCCGCAGAGAGGAAATACTTTCAACATATATACATACACACATACATACATATATACATATATATGTACATACACACAGTCACTGGGGAACTGGAGATCAAAACTATGATAGCAAACAAATCAAATACATTTCCAAAACCAGAAAGAGATGTCTAGGGATTTTCAACTAAAAACACTCAAGACTGGTATGACAGATCTGACTAGAGGGAAAGTTTACCCTGTTGGGATAGAAAAAAAAAGAAACAAAAGCAATGGCATTTAGAGTACCTTGCATAATAGTGCTAGGTTAAATTTAACATTTTCCCACACAGATAATCAAAGGATTCAGCATCATTTATGAAAAGATTGCTCTACTCCAATACACTGCAGGCAGTTCTATATTAAGAGTGTGACTGACTCTGTGTGAGTCAGTTTCTGGAACCTGTGTTTTTTCATTGTTGGATTTATCATTGAACCAAGCCACACTATGTGTGTGTGTGTGTGTGTGTGTGTGTGTGTGTGTGTGTGTGCATTTTGAGACAATGTCTCCCTGTAATTCCAGCTGGCCTGGAATTTGTTATGTAGACCAGGTTGGTCTTGATCTCAAAAAGATTCACCTCCCCTTTCTCTCTAGAGCTGTAATTAAAGGTGTGAGCCACCACACCTGCAAGCCACACAGTCTTGATTACAGAAATTTAATAAATCTTCACATTTTATTGCATCTTCCATTTTTGTACTTCAAGACTCTTTTGACAAAATTTATCACTTTATCTTTGTAAATAAATTATAAAGATAGTGCGGCAATTTCCACTAAGCTGTCTGCTGAAATTTCTAATAGCATTCCGTCAAGCTTGTAAGTCAGTTTTGGAAGAATTGCCTTTCTGTTGCTGTGACAAAACGCCAAAGAAAACTGACTTAAAGGAGTCAAGATATGGTTTGCCTAGAGGTTGTAGAGGTTGTAGTCCATGATCACTTGGCTCCATTGTTTCTGGGAGAAAAAAATCCATTCATCTTATTTTCATTTTCATGTAGTATGATGTCACGTGACTGCAGAACAGCTTTCTCTACTGTTGATTGATGCTTTGCAGCTTCAGTGGACTTTATATGAGCAATGCTGCTATCACAGATGGATCTTAGAAACATAATGTATAGTGACCAAAAGCAGATGCAAACAGGTGTTAATACACAGTCTTGACCTCACAGAGATAAAAGACAAAAACAGAAAGGCTAGAGAGCAGTCATAGAAGAATGGTCGTTATCTTACAGAGGCTCAGTGATTGGAATACAATGGGGTTGGAGAGTTGGCTCAGCAGTTAAAAGCAGTAACTGCTCTTTCAGAGGACATGGGTTCAATTCCCAGCACCCATATGGTGGCTAACAACCATACGTAACTCTAGTTCCAGGGGAATCTGACACCCTTTTCTGACCTCCACGAGTATTGCATGACATGGGTGTACTTACACACAGGCAGGCAATATACTCATACACATAAAAATAATAAGACATAATAAAACAAAAATAATAATAATAAAAAGTTTTTTTAAGTTTCTATTGGCCCTGCGGGCTTCTGCCACTGGGCAGGAGAGGTGGGGTGCTGCCTCCCTGGCCAGGCTTCCCACCAGGCAGCCATGGCAGCCAGGAAGGCAGGCATATGGTAGGAGATGGAGATGGAGATGGAGATGGAACTCTGCTGCCTGAGTTCCAGCAGGAGTGGACCCCCAAGCTCTTCAAGCATCTGTCAACCAAGCTCATCCACAGTGATGACATGACTGAACTTCTCCCCGGGGACTTGAAGCTAGAGCAGCACTTGAAGGAGAAGCCCCTGCAGCAGGGAGCCAGTATGCCCCAGGCCCAGCTGATTGAAATGCACAAACATTTGACAGCTGCCATGGACTGAGGGAACCTGAAGTCAGAATCCCTACAAGAATTCAATGTGATCATGACCAAGTTGAAGCCATGGATGACTGAGGAAGCCTATGCTGCTAAAGAAGGCAGGTTGTCAGAAGAGAGTCTTGAAGAGGACTTTGCCCTTGTGCATTTACAGCATGGTTCCTCAAAGCTCTCACAAGTTGACAGCCATCTGGATCATAATGGCAGCTGTGGTTGCTGCTGCTGCTCATGCTGGAATGACTTGAGTGACTCGGGGGCCTTCATGGGCTTCTCCAGTGCTCCACTCAGCAGCCGAGAAATGAGTGGGGATCTGCCTGGTGTGCAGGAGTAGAACACAGATGCCCGGCCATCTTGGGCCTGTCCCCTCTATCCAGAAGATTATATCTGAAAGATTTATCCAGAGGAGCAAGGTTTTGGGCCAAATGAAGCAGCTATGCTCCAGCGCCCCCTTCTGACCACGTGGGCATTGCAGAACATGAGTGTAGTTATGTACATACAGGAAGAAACACTGTTGGAGAGTCTGAGCACTTCAAGAAAGAAAGAGAACTAGGACTGTGGTCCCTCCCTGTGAGCTGAAGTCATGGTCCCTTCCCATGAGCTTGAGCTGTGGTCCTCTCCTGTGGGCTGGAGTTCTGATCCCTCCTGTGAGCTGGAGCTGTGATCATCTCCTGTGAGCTGGAGCTGTGGTCCCCTCCCATAAGCTGGAGCTGTGGTCCTCTCTGGTGAGCTGAAATCATTGTCCCCTCCTGTGAGCTAGAGTTATGGTTCCCTTCCATTGAGTGGGATCTGTGGTCCCCTCCAGTGAGCTGGAGCTGTGGTCCTCTCCTGTTAGCTGGAGCTCCGGTCCCCTCCGGTGAGCTGGAGCAGTGGTTCCCCTCCTGTGAGTGAGAGTCATGATTCCCTCCTGTGAGCTAGAGCTGTGTTCCGTCCTGTGAGCTGGAGCTATGACCCTCTCCAGTGAGCTCAAGCTATGGTACCCTCCTGTGAGCTGGACCTGTGATCCCCCTCCTGTAAGCTGGAGCTGTGGACCCCTCAGATGAGCTGGAGCTATGGTCCTCCCTGGTGAGCTGGAATCATGGTCCTCTCCTGTGAGAGGGAGCTCTGGTTCTTCCTATAAGCTGGAGCTGTGGGTCCCCTCATGTGAGCTAGAGCTGTGGTCCTCTCTTGTGAGCTGGAGCTGTGGACACCCCCCCCCCATGAGCTGGAGTTGTGGTCTGCTCCTGGGAACTGGAGTTGTGGTTCCCCTCATATGAACTGGAGTCATGGCCCTCCCCTGTGAGCTGGAGCTATGGTTCTTTCTATGAGCTGGAGCTGTGGTTCCCCTCTTGTGAGCTGGAGCTGTGGACCCCTCCTGTGAGCTGGAGCTGTGGTCCTCCCCTATTGGCTCAAGTCCTGGTCCTCTCCTGTGAACTGGAGCTGTGGTTCCCCTCCTGTAAACTGAAGCTGTGGTTCCCCTCCTGTGGTCTGGAGCTATTGCCCTCTCCAATGAGATGTAACTGTGGTACCTCAAAATAATATGGACTCCCAGTCTCAGGAGGGATGGTCAGAATGAACTGTAATGAGTCAAGTGCCCACCCACTGTTGAAGATTGATGTGTTTTTCAACTCTCACCAGAGAAATTTCCTTATGCAGCAGATGCTGATTGACACAGAAACTTAACAGCTTTCTAATGTGTGGGGAGGAAGGGACTGCAGAGTGCTTATCCCAGGGTGGGATGCCTCTGTCAGGCTTCTGGAGCTCAGGACTTGGGAATCATTGCAGAGAAGGTGGTGGAAAGATTATAAGAGCCAGACGTGGTGGATGACCATGGGAGGACAGAGTTCTCCAGACAGCTGGCCAGTTACTCATATGAACTCACAGCAATGGTGACAGCTTGCACAAGTCCTATGCGAGCTCGAGTGGATGAGCCCACGCTGGAGAACATTTGGGGATTGAAGTTAGACTCCATAGGCTTTATTACCCAGAGAGAGTCCACTGAAAATGGGGGGTGTGTAGGGAGGAGTGGATGGGAGAGGGGACATAAATGCCATCAAATTATATTGTCTGGAAATCGCAAAATTTCAGTAAAAATACTTCAAAAAAATAGAAAAAAAAGTTCCTATTGGATTTTTGTGTGATTTTCATACAATATATTGTGATGGTATTTAGATCCTCTTCCCTATCTGCAACTCCCCTTACTTCCCCCCACCAAATTTAATGTATTCTATGTATATATGCCCTACAGAGTCAAATGTGTGTCTCTAAATGTCCTTCAGTGTGAGTTCATCCATTGGAGCCTGGTAAACCTACCAAGAGTCACATCAAGAAAACTTCCTTTGAAATCTTGCATTTGGTTTTGACAGGGTCTCCCTGTAGCCCCAGCTGTCCTGGAACTCACTATGTAGACCAGGCTGACCTTGAACTCACAGAAATCTGCCTGCCTCTGTCTCCCAAGTGCTGGGATTAAAGGCATGCACCACCACGTCCAGCAAGAAAGCTTACTTTTAAAAGCTTAATCTATGATTGTAGAATAATGACCAAAGAAATAGAAAAAAAATGATAGAAAGGAAAAGTTGGGAACTTCCATGAAAGAGCAAAAATATCAGAAGTTCCAGAATAGGAAAGAGTTACATGCTGTGGTTTAGTTCTGAAATACCTTCCCGAATCAGAAGGCTGAGTAATGCAATTCAGTAAACAGCATCTCTCTCTCTCTCTCTCTCTCTCTCTCTCTCTCTCTCTCTCTCGTGAACACACATTTAACTCACCTGCTTTCTTAAATTTTGTGATTTTAGTTTTTCATGGCCGAAAAGAAAAAGGTGCTTGATTTTCAGTCCACTATCCAGCCTCTAAATGCTGAAGCAACCCCGTTTAGTATTCCATGGCTTGGTAAAGATAAGAACTGCATATGCTTTATACAGGTAAGATTTTCACTTCCTAATAATATCTTAAATATGCTAACAAATACCTGTAAGACCCTACCGCAAACAGAACATACTTCAACACAGGATTTGGAGCAATAGAGCTGCCATTGACCTGCAATCACTTCCCCCGAAGGCGAGATCTCATAGCTTTGGAGAGCTCTGTGAAGGTGCCAAGGGAGAACATCAATGGATGATCCAACACCAGCTTCAAGACCAGATAATCACATCGATGGCCAGCACAGCATATATCATTGGTGCAGTAGTGGCACTCTTATCTTGGGGGGCAGTCAACAGCTACCTAATTTGACTAAATGCCCACTCAAAGGGAGGAAACTCAAGTGTGGTAATGTAAACATAACCTAATACACATGGCTAGAATGGCCATAGATCTTAGAGAAAACCTCAAGACTGTCACATTGCTAGACTAATGTGATTTCTCACTATGTGCAAAATATGTATCCTTATATCCTTATATTTACAGAAAAATATCCCAGTCACCACTCATCAAATAAGCTCATTCTGTATCAGTCAGAGACTATTATCAAGTACCATAACTGGTCACATGTGGACATTGTCTATGAATGCCCAGGCCTAAGTGTCACATCTACAATACAACCTCTACACATAAGGCTCATGGAACATAGAACAGGGGTAAAGAAGAGGACACTAATGAATCTCTGAGTTCTCAGTAATGCAGCTCCCTCATGCAGCAGAGGGTCATGAATGCAAAAAGGTCACAAATAGCCAAAGTGTAGAGATCAAGAGTCTACTGAATGCTGGTCCTTGGATAGGATTCCTTTATTAAACTTCTCCCATACAAGGCTCAGGGGCCATCTCGGAAGAGGGGACAGAAAGATTGTAAGAGCCAAGGAGGAGGTGCATGACCATAAGGAAACAGAGTCCTACAAGCTCCTGAGAACCTGCTCATATTATTCTGTGGCAATGGTGTCAGCATTCACAAGTCCAATGCAAACTCAGGCAGAAAAATAACCCAGCATAGAACTGGGAAAATGAACAGCAGACCCCAATCTCACCTGAAGGAATGATGGCAACTGATTGCTGCTAGATGAAGAAGAGCTGATCTTCCTAAAACAAGGGACTTTAGATAGGCTGACTAGACTGTTCCTAATAGGCTGACTGGACCTCAATGGATGGACTTGCACTGGGGAATGTCTGAGGACACTGACTACACAGAGGGCCTTAATGGGGTTGACAGAGTATATGGGCTCGGGGGTGGGGGGATCGGGGTATAAAGATGATTAAGATTGTTTGAGCTGTTCTGTATGAAATACACAAAAAATTCAATTAAGAAAGAATAAAAAAAAATCTTTAAAACAATAATGATTTAACTGTGATACTCACTAAAAACTCTGTAAGTTGACCCTTGTTACCTACAGGATAAAATCAAAATCCCTTCTAATAAGATGGCACATCTTACTGCAAGCTGCCTTCTGCCTGGTACTCCCCCTTCAGCCCCTCCCCCTTCGGATTCCCAGTCATCACACACTCTTTATTCTATTTATGCCAAACTGCTCATGGTGCCACACATACTACACTGTTTTCCAGTTCCAGTCATCTGTCGGTGCTATGTGACTTCCATGAAATGTCCCCTGATTCCAAATCTTTTCCAATTCTTTCTTGTGGTGTTTTAGCTTGGTTTGTTGTTTTGATCTAAGGGACTTTCTACCTCAGGCAAATTGACCAGCACCCATACTGGGAAGTTTCTCTTTAGTTGGGTGCACTGGCTCTGGTGAGCATGAAAATGTGTAAATTGTTCAATTTATTAAATTCATGTAGATGATAACTAGTCTCAGAATTTATACTGATCTTGACAGAGGTGCTCTCATTTAAATACTGAGCAGCAGCCCTCCACAGCCCCATCCAGTCTCTCTCTCTCTCTCTCTCTCTCTCTCTCTCTCTCTCTCTCTCATCGGTTTATTTTTGAGACAGTCTCACTGTGTATCCCAGACTGGCCTCAACGTTACAATCATCCTGTCTCAGATTCCCGAATATAAGACTATAGTCCTGAGCACCATGCCTGGCTTCATTCATCTTTTGGACACACACCTCCTACCATTCTGTATAATGCACTGCATGCACTCCTTAAGTGTTTGTGGCATGAATAAATTATTGGGCCAGACTTGCTTGACTAGTATTCTTTTCTGTGCCTATTTGGTATCGAAACACTATATTTTCCCTCTAAATATTCAGAATGGATTTTTTATATACTCATTAGCTGTTTTGAGCACAAAAATATGAGACATGAAAATGTCATTAGTCCACATCTACCCCATAACTTTTCACTGAGGTGAAACATTTTTTCACTTTCCATTTTGTTCTTACTCCTCAATTATTTTTTCTCACACATGTATAAGCATCGTATCTGAAATTTAAAGTATTTATGATTTTCCACATCCTTCTCTTTGCTATTTATAATTTTTATTTTCTCTTACAAACTTATCACCAACACAGTATCTTAGATCTTACTTAATATTTACTTAAAGTACAAAAGTTTTATTAAAATGTTAACTCCACCATCCCCCAATTACTGGTAGAATATTCTATAAGTTTTATATCTGGTAATTTTTGTTTTGATTTGTTTTAGGAAGGATCCAATGTTGTAACATTTTATTGTGAAGATAATATATTTGAAGAAGGTGATGAGCCACAAGGAATCTATGTAGTTATTTCAGGCATGGTCAAGGTAAGCAGAGGTACTTATAAATGTACTTCTAAACATTAATTTTAAAAAACTCTAAAATTGAGAATTAATGACTTTTAATGCTAAGAACTGAGTAGTTCCTGTCTTAGGTTAGCACCTATCATGTAAATGCCAGTTTCCATGATCAGACAGAATGGTGGGCAACACCTGTCTCTTTTCATGCCATGTGCCTCCTTATAGACAACAGGAAACTATCAAAAGGGCCACCTTTGAAGATTGAGCATATAAATTGTTAGACATCCTGTGTCTACATGATTGAAAGATGACCTGTGGTCCCCCTCCTGTGAATATGAAGCTGTGGTTCCCTCCTGTAAGTTAGAGCTGAGGTCCCCTCCCGTGAACCTGGAGCTGTGGTTCCCTCTTGTGAACTGGAGTCATGGTCCCCTCCTGTGATCAGGAGCTGTGGTTCTGTCCTAAGTGTTGGAGTGGTAGACCCCATGAGCCAGAGTTGTGGTCTGCCCAGTGAACTAGAGCTGTGATCCCCTCCCATGAGCCACAGCTGTGGTTCCCTCCTGTAAGCTGGACCTGTGACCCTCACATGAGCCTGAAGGTTTGGGCTGCTACCATGAGCCATGATTCCACATTCCTCTGGTAAAAGGCTGCTGGTGGCGTAGAGTAGAGCATGGAGGACTTCCTGGTGCTAGACAGCAGTTTCAGCCTTCTCGAGTGATTAAATTCCCTACAGCCCCTTTCCCTGATATCCCAGATTGTGCATGGCAGAGGCTTTACCTCGTGCTGAAGACGGGAGGCCGCTGCTATTTTCAGAATAGATTCTGTTCTTGGGAGGACTGTTTCTCTGGAACAGAACTCCCACCTCCCCTGAGGCCCACCTGGGGCCTCCCCTCCCTCCACAGTAGTCCTGGGTATGCAGCCCTTGATGTTGGACCTCTCCCATTACCAGACACCAAGATATTTTCTATTATTTTTCTATTATTCTTCCATAGCCCCAGTATGCCTTCACCTATGCCCTAACTGAACTTCTGGAAATAAATATCACAACCCGGGAAGTTGAGAAAAAACTGAAATAGAAAATGCAGTAATAAGTAAGCTGATATAATCCTCAAACTCAAAGTATATAATTAGGTCTTAGAATATAAATTTTAAATTCTATCTCTACTATGATTTTTGAATTTTTACTGACAAAACTGTACAACCAAATTTCAAAAATAGTGTGTAATTTGTCGTTCTTCCTATAATGTGAGTTTGCCATTCATTTCCATTCTGAATTCTCTACCTATACAGTGTTTCAATGTGATCATGTTACTTCTTAAAGAAAGCAACGCTAATAAAATATTTTTTAATTAAAAACTAAATAAAATGGATATAGATTAACCTACAGAGATCAAAAAGATTTGTGTATTTAAGAACGCTTTGTGTTTAAGTCATTGGTAATTTAATAAGTTCATTAGAAATGGAGAAATATTTCCAAATTGATACAATAGTATAATTATTAAAACCAGAGTGGGAAAAGTAGTAGTTTTGATAAGTTAACTGGCCTATGCATTTTTCTCTTTGTTTTCTGAATAGCTTAAAGGAACAAAACAACAATTGGAGAGTGCCCAAGTACCCTTGGAATCCGAGGAAAAAGCTTATTCAATACTTTACACAGAGTATCTGCTCAGTGGGGAAATAATAGGCGAGTTAAAACTGCTTAACTAAGCAACCAATGCAATATTCTGCCACCTGCAAAACTGTAGTAAAGGTCAGAACCTTTGTCTTGCTGTTGTATCTCATTCAGTATCTGATGTCAAACTTAAGATGTTGTTGGTGCTTAACATATATCTACAGTCCAGTGGTAACGTATGATTTTTGAAAATAGGAAAGGTACAAGGACAAACTTTATTTACACAATTATATTCACTTCATATAATATTATAGCAAAATGGCTTCAAAAAGTGAACCTAACGTGACAAAATCAGAATTTAGGAAATCTGGTCACATAAGCTGTTCA